AGAAACTATTAAGTTTAACATTTTTTATGCCATGAAATATCCTGCAAATACTCACTCGTTTTATATAAATGTTATTGAGAATGTAGTGCATGATAGTCTTGAGCTGAGAGCCTCTGATGCGTTGGAAATGGTGTTAGTGAATCATATAGGTCTTCATGAAGCTCATGACCCCGTGATAGATGCTAGATTATAGAGGATGATGCATGCTTTAAGAGTCATTCCACTGACTCCACAAAGGTATGAGCTTGCTCCATTATTTTTACCTAAAATTGATCAACGTTTGTTACCGTCTAGTGTGCAGGCACCAGAGTTGAAACTTGAGTCATTGCCGGAACACTTGAAGTATTCTACTTAGGAGAGAAAGAGACTTTTTCGGTGATCATATCATCAAATCTTACATCCGACCAAGAGCTCAGCTTGATCCAAGTTCTGAATAATCACAATGAGGCTCTATGATGGACGATTACAGACATCAAAGGTATAAGTCCATTGTTTCGTACTCACAAGATTACTCTTGATGAAGGAGCAAAACCAGTCCGACAAGCACAAAAGAAACTCAATCCAATAATGACTGAAGTGGTGAAGAAGGAAGTCATGAAGCTTCGAGATGCTGGCATAATCTATCCAATTGTTGATAGCTAGTGGGTGAGTCCTATCCAAGTGGTGCCGAAGAAAACAAGGATAACTGTGAAGGAGAATTAAGATGGTGAGATGGTTTTTGTTTGCAACCAAACATGATGACGGCAATGTGTTTATTATCGCAGGCTTAATTCTGTAACAAAAAATGATCATTTTCCTCTTCCTTTTATTGACCAAATGACCAAAAGGTTAGTTGGCTATGCTTACTATTATTTTTAGTTGGTTTTTCAGGACGCTTTAAGATATCAATAGCACCATAGGATTATGAGAAAACGACATTCACATGCCCCTTTAGTATTTTTGTGTACAAGAGGATGTCGTTCGGATTATGCAATGCCCCTACAACTTTCTAGAGATGTATGTTGAGTATTTTGTCTGAGTACATTGAGAAAATCATTGAGGTATTTATGGATGATTTCGGTGTTTATGGTGATTGTTTTGAAAATTGTCTTGATAACTTGGCTTTGATTTTAATAAGATGTTGTGAGGTTAATTTGGTGTTAAACTGGGAGAAGTGTCAATTTATGGTCAATCAAGGTGTGGTTTTAGGTCACGTTGTTTATTCTAGGAGCATAAACGTAGATAAAGCAAAGGTTGATCTTATTTCTACTCTATCTTACCCCATTTCTGTTCTAGAAGTGCGCTCGTTTTTGGGTTATGCAGGTTTTTAAAGGAGGTTTATAAAGGATTTTTCAAAGATTGCATCACCATTGTTCAATTTGCTTCAAAAGGGAATTTCATTCCAATTTAGTGAGCCATGTAAGCAAGCTTTTGATCAGTTGAAAAGGCATTTGATCACCCTACCAATCGTGCAACCTCTAAATTGGAATTTGCCTTTTGAAGTGATGTGTGACGCAAGCGATATGGTAGTAGGAGCTATTTTGGGTCAACGAAATGGAAAGACACCTTATGTTGTTTACTATGCATCAAAGGCTTTGAACAGGGCTCGGTTGAATTATACTATGACCGAGAAAGGATTACTTGTTGTCGTATTTGCTTTATAAAAGTTTTGGTCTTATCTATTAGGTTCTAAAGTTATTGTCTTTTCTGATCATGCAACATTACAGTATTTGATGACCAAGAAAGAAGCTAAACCGAGATTGATACAATGGCTTTTACTCCTTCAGAAGTTCGATATGGAAATCCAAGACAAGAAATGATCTTAGAACTTGGTAGCAGAGCACTTGAGTCGACTCCCAATCACTGTTGAGAATAACTTACCATAGAAGAAGATCTCTCCTGATGAAAAATTACTTTCTTTGAGTGTTTATATTCCTTGGTATGCTGATTTAGTGAACTATTTTGTTACTAATCAATTTCCGGCATGCTGACCTAAAGTGAAGAAGGACAAGTTGAAGAGCGATACAAAATACTACATGTGGGATTACCCTTATCTTTGGAAACGACGTGCAAATCAAGTCATAAGACGATAGGTTGAGAAAAGTGAGTTTCACTCGATCCTTACATTCTGCCATACACTCGCGTATGGATAACGTTTTGGAGCTCAAAGAACTGCAAGAAAGATGTTGGATAGTGGATTCTATTGGCCTACGTTGTTTAGTAGCTAATTTCTGTGTACCGTGTTTAGTATCTAATTTCTTATTCTAGTCTAAGGTTGGATTGGATTCTTAGATTATGGATTTGTGAGAAAGTTTTGGTTTTAATCAAATATTTCAATTAATAGGTATTTGTGTGATTTATGTGTACTGTGTTTACAATCATTAGATGCGATTTATTATTGTGGCCAAATTTTAAGTCTGCCTATTAATTGTGTGCTAATTGAATAACTGCATTCGCAATTGTGTATTTATTCAATAAAGTAGTAAATAGGTTAATGCGCTTACCCTAGGAATTCCTTGATCGAATAAAAAAACTTTCGTAATTGATTAAATATTCAAATTGGATTTTTCTTATGTTATTTTCAATTGAAGAAACTAATTTATCAATAGATTGATCAAATTACTTAATTCAATGATCAATAGTTTAAATGGTTTAGTTGAATTTTCTTAGGATAGCTATTTTAATTCTTGATTGAATCTTCCCTCCCTCTCCTCCTCCCCCTCATTTGACTGACAGTTTACGCATGTCAACATTGCATCATATTGCGATTATATGAACATCAGGGTATAATACTAATTTTTGTGAAGTTTTTTAATACTTATAGTTAATTTATATATAAATTAATCCTAATTAAATTTATTTCTCAAGTTATAATTTTTAGTCCAATTTAATTGTAGCTAATTTAGTGTTTATTGACAATTTATTTGGTTAAATAATGCTATGGCAGTTAGTCTTTTGTTGGACTTTTTGTTATCTATTTATGTTAGTTTTTTGTTGTTTTTTCTCTTCGTTTGCTAAATTAATATTGTGTTTCCTTTCTATTTTTATTGTCTTTTATTTAATGTTTTTGTGCGCGTCAAAAGCTACGCAATTACCTATTCTAAGTAAATATCAATTTCTTTTTTTAAGTTTGGCTCTAATTAAAATACTTTACGATCACGAAAAATCATGCAAATTGTGAAAAATTTGCTCAAATGTAAAGTCAATGCAAAAGTCAATGGCCAATGTGAAGTCAATACAAAGTCAAAGGTCAACTACAAATTTGTAACCAATGCTAAATGACGATCAACACTAAATCGCGAGCTCTGCTGTTAAATGGAGACCAATGCTTAATCGCGAGCTCTAGTGCTAAGTGACGATGTCAATGCTAAATCGCGAGCTCTAGTGCTAAGTGACGATGTCAGTGCTAAATTGCGAGGTCAACTCTGCACAAAATTGTCTCTTTTATCTTCTCTTGTTGTATAAATTAATGGTAGGTTTTAGAATAAGTTAGCAAGGGTGCTTCTTATTGTCAAAGCTTCCAGAAGCTTCCCCTGACCTCTATAAATACTCTTTTTTCACCTCTCATTTGAACCATTCCACCACATCTCCGATGACATTATCTCATTTTCTCTCCATTTTACTCTATTTCTTCCATTTCGAGTCTCTCCATATATTTATCTATTTTGCAATAAAACGCGAGCTTGGCTTGCCTCGTGAGCTAGCCAGCTTGTCATATTTTGTATATATATAATTGATGAAACATCATATTTCTTCATCTCACTAGCATCCATGGTTGACGCATACATAAGATAATTTTTTAGCGAAGTATCTTTGTTGACACATTTGAATAAAAAGCAAATGTAAGTCACTTATTACCATCTACTTAAATGAATTTCGAAGGAAATCATGCTACTAGACAGAGTCAGGACCTCTCGCGAAAGCGGCTCCTTAAACTCAATTTGGCTTAGAATATGTAGTATAAAGGTAGGTCGTGAATTGATTATCCGATTCATCATTCGCGAGTATCGATGAGGAATCACATAATACATTAGTAAGGCAGAAATCTTATGTAATCACCTTCACGTGACAATCTCACGTACGAAGTTTATATCTATATTGCATTTATTTTCATCCATCTAACAAGCATCATCTTCCTCTTTTCGCATAGAATATATTGCATGGTCACGTTACTTTCATATTTCCATGTATGATGTTGGGAAAAAGCGACAGTTGTTCCCTCACATCATTCACAATAGCACTCCATTAATTCTTTGTTAATTACTTTTTGTATTTAAATTTAAATTTTAGCATGCATTAATTCTATTTTTTATCATAACAACTCATTGCACAATTTTCTACTTAAAGCATTGCATAATAGCATTATTCCCTGAGTTCGACATGTAAACTCACTGGTCAAAATTTATTTATTTTTAATATTTGACGAAGTTTCTGAAGTTACTAAATACACTCGCATAGCATGTAATTCTCATATCATATTTGTATCATTCAATCAAAATCTTGAGATAAACTTCAAGTTTATTTCTACTTCATCGCCTTTTTATTAAATTGGGCAGATTAGAGCTTTATCAAAAAATTTCTTGGACCATGGTAAAAATGTGTATATAATGTGCATATATATATATATTTATTTACTCTATAAAAGTATTATATTTTTTTACATATTTATTATTTATAAAAATATTAAATTTAAAGGCAACAACGAAACATTAAAGAGTAGTCTATTTTAGTCGTTCTTTTATATATATATATATATATATATATATAACATTTAAGTTTGAAAAAGAAAAAAGATAATTATTACAGAAACTTTTAAATAGGCTTATAGTTAGTTCACACATGACTTTAGAAATATTTTTTTCAACCTAATAGGTCAGGTCCAAATTGTAATTTTTTAGACTAGGTTCCGTCTATTTAACTAAAGTTTGATCTGGCCGATTCCTGACCTAGTCATTATGGGATATAAAGGATATATAAAACAAAATCCGAACACGAAAGAACAAATTTAATCCAAATATATAGGACACAAATTTCAGTATTTTCAGCACTTTATTTCCCAATATATTAAAGACACGTATAACAATATTATGTAATTAATCCTTAATTTATCTTCTCGAGCATTAAGTGTGCGCCGTGCTGAGGCTGAAGAATAACCATTGTGCAAGGAGCATGTGAATATGATGGAGAAAGCTCGAAACTATAACGTTGTAGAATCATTGCCATCGCCAATTTGGCTTCTGTCATGGCGAAGTTTTGTCCCAAGCAAATCCGAGGCCCGCCTCCAAATGGGAGATATGTCATTTGGCCTTGCGTAGCGTTGGAAACTCCATTGCTAAATCTCATCGGGTTAAATTCCTTTGCATCGTCGCCCCATATCTTCTCGTCATGGTGCAATAAAATGATCGGCAATATAAGTTGCACCCCGGCCGGTAGAGTTAAGTTCCCTATTTTGCTATCTTCTGTAGTCATTCGGTTAAGCATGATTCCCGGCGGATACAACCTCATAGTTTCGTGGAGTATCATATTAATCTGAGAAATAAATAAATAAATAAAAAGGACAATCGTTGTGACCATTGGAAAATAGCAAAACCGTGTGAAATTGATTCAAAACATCACATCATTGTTGTTAACCAACGGTAAAAAGAAAGTTGCGTAAATATAAGTATGTAAAAACTAAACTACATTTAGATTCTAGAGATAATTCCTAGTAAGAATCTGTGTTTTTTTTTTTTTTTTTTCAAGAGTAATAGGAATCTGTGTTGAAATATATAGATATATTGGTACTTTTATGTTAAAAGATAGGATAATGTATTAATATTTTAATATCCTCGGTTTGTTTTATTACAATTTCAAATACAAATTATCGCACATTTATTTTGTACGGTTTCTAATAAAAATATACTCCATCCGTCTCAGTTAATTTGTCCTATTTAGTTTAGGTATTGAGTTTTAGGTACGGTGTAATTAGTAAGTAATTAAGAAACTTATTACTTAAAATAATTATAATTTAATAAAAAAAATTATAGATTAAGATTAAGATGAAAAAATAATTTAATTAAAATAAAAAATTATAAATTATGAATTTTAAAATGTGATTAAAGTGTATAGTTATATTTAAAAAAAAAATGACAAATTATGTGGGAATGGACCGAAATAAAAAAAAGTTGTCAAATTAAGTGGGATGGAAAGAGTAATATTTTTTTTCATAAAATATCATATTAAATTACTATTCTCTATGTCCCATATAAAATGTCAATTTTTTTTTTTCATTTTGGGTCGTCTTAGGTAATTTGTCTTTTTTTTTTTTCTAAAATATGATAGTACACTTTAATCATATTTTAAAATTCATAATTTATAATTTTTTTTAATTTTAATTAAACTATTTAGTTATTTTAATCTTAATCTATTATTATTTTTAAGATAAATTATTTTTTAGTTGTATATGACCCTTTTATCATTTGAGGTTTTTAAATGGACAATGTCTGAAATAAATTTGTTTTGCTAAAATGGTCCTCAGGTGCCGGATTCGCCACATTGGTCCTCCGTTGATGATGTGACGCTGACGTGGCTGACATGTCATCGCCACGTTAGTGACACGTCGAATGACCATTTTAGCAATTTTTTTTACTTGCGAAACTATTTTCAGACAGAATCTATTTAAAGTTCTAAAATGATAAAAAGAGGGGTTAGAGACATGAGACTAAAAAAAGTTTACCAAGACATTCTGTAAAATAAAAAAATAAAAAATTTTCACATGGCGATGACATTTCAGCCACGTCAGTACCATGTCACCAACGATGGGCCAACATGGCGAGTCCGGCACTGGAGGACCATTTTAGCAAAATAATTTTACTTACGAAACTATTTTTATACAATGTGCATTTAAAGTCCTACAATACTAAATGGATGATATATGAGACTAAATAACAATTTATCCTTATTTTTATTATATAATAATTAGTTTTACTATTATACTCCCTCCGTCCATTAAAATTAGACCATTTGGGCTTAGCACGGGAATTACGAAAAATGAATATTTTATTAAAAAAGTGATAAGTAGTTAAGGGTATTTTTGAAAATTTAGTTAAAAAGTAAAGTAAATGAAGAGAGATAATGTAATAAAGTTAGTGGTATTTGTTGTAAATATGTGTTGAATGGAGGGTAATAATTAAATATTGATTTGTTGATTTTGCCAAAATTAGTCTTGGGATAAATTTAGTGGACGGACTATAAAGGAAAGTGAGAATAAATTTGACGGACGGAGGGAGTACTTGTTAATTACTTACTAATTATACTTTACGTATCTACAGTAATATAGACAATTTAGCCGGGATTGAGGAGTATTTAAACAAAAAGTCAAATCAATTTTAGATCACAATCAAACTAACTAAATTGTTAGTAGATAGAAAGATGATATAATATGAAATTTGCTGAAAGCAAAGATGTCGAAAACACTTACAATTTTGAGGTGGTTTAACTCTTGATACTCGGGTTTTCTTTTTCCGAAGAGATGTAGAACCTCATCTCTTGCTCGAGACTGCCAATCCGTGTACTTCCCCAATAGAATCATTGTCCAAACGAGCAAGTTCGCAGTAGTATCTTGTCCGGCGAAGTAAAATAACTTGCACTCTTCAACCACCTCCTCCATGCTCATTCCGAACTTATTTCCTCCTTGTTTGATTTCTTTGATGTTCGATTCTAGTAGCAAACCAAGTAAGTCATCGCCGCTACCCTCCCCGGCTTCCATCAATTTCATCCTTTTGTCGATGATGCTCATCACGGTCGAATCTACTTCTTTTTTTATTTCCTTAATTCTTCTATTGTGTGGCGTCGGTAAAAACCTATAAAAGAATGGAAATTAGTTGTTGTTTCAATCCCTATAAATCGACGAACACAATGACCTATCGCACCTCCATCCGGGAATGTAAACCGAGTAATATATTTCCATGATACGCCGGGCTTGTTCCATTTGAAGTTCAAATATTTTTCTTCCTTCTTCATAGTTACTACCGAAGGCAGTGCGCGAAATCACATCGCTCGTAAGAGTTTTGAGACAACCGCACACATCCAATTCGCGCGCCCCTTCATTCGGGATAATCTCATCCCATTTGCTCAACATGTCGGCGCAACTCAAGTAAAACGATGGAACCATGAGCTGCAAACACAAGAAACAATATTATCATTCCGATCAAAAAAAAAAAAAAAAGAAACAGTATTATCATTCCGTTGTCAATGTGTATGTAGTTTGTAGATGAACATTGCCTTCAGTTTGTCGACGTGAAAGGCGGGCGTGATCAGCTTCCTGTGTTTCGTCCATTTGTCTGTTTCCAATGTGTGTATACCTCTCGACAAACGTCGAACTTTTGGAACCGGGGGCTTGTGGAAAATGAGCTTCGACAAAATTTCTCGGATCCATTCAGGTTCCGAGACAATCACTGCAGGTCTTGGCCCATACCATATAAAGCTACACTTACCTGTAAGTGTAGGATAAATTGTAAAATGAGATATCGTTTCAAACTATTATACGAATTAGAAAGTACAAAGTACATTTAAAAATTGTAAAGTTTTTCATCAATAATATTTATTCAAATTAAATACTCCCTCCGTCCCAAAAGTACAGTCTTATTGTGTTGGACATCGGATTTAAAGAATATTGATATTATATTGGTAGTCGATAAAAAATAAGGATAAATGACTTTTTTGCCCCTGTGAACATATTAGTGTAAAAAATAGTAGCAATTGTATAATAATAATAATGTAAAAATAGGGATAGTTTTACGATGATATGGTTATTTATAGAAATGAGACTATTGTTTTGGGACGAACAAAAATAATAAACAAGACAAAAGAAAAATTATTAAACCTTTTTTCTATTATCATATTTTTCCAAATCTCCAAACACTCCAAAATCTCTAGGTAAATGATTTAGGTACAATTTTTTAGTCTTTACAAAATTTTGAAATTTCGAAAATTTCTATTTACAAGGTAATTTTTCCTTCAACATGACAAAAGAAAAATCAATTTAGCCGTATAAAACACTTGGTTTGATTTTTATAATTTTTTTGTTAGCCATATAAAATCAATTTTTCCCAAGAGTTTTTGTTTTGTATATATTAACTTTTGAGGTGTTTTTTGTCCATATTGATAATATAGAAAAACAATATTTTTTAATTAAATCATTGAAAATGTTTAAAAAATAAACATTATTGTGTAAATATATGTATATATTATACTTCTTAGTGTATAATTTCAATCGGTAAAATCGTATCAAAAATATTTTGTTTGGTAAACACACCAATAATTTTCATCTAATATCTTTTTTATTATTCTCAACTTTTATTCGTCGTTGAAAAATATATAAAACAAGAAAGAAATAACAGTAATAATTCAATCAGAATTACCGTAGTTTCTGAGAGCTAGATCGAGTTCAGGAACAACTCTGGGCACAATATCATGGGAAAAACTCATGGGTTTGGATCTCGCATCTTTCTGCAACCTCGTAATTTCCTTAAAGTCTCCGAAGAAGATCCTGTAAGGATTTCCATGGAGGCCCTGCTGCCTCAGCCACTTCTCGACCCTCTTAGGCCTAAACCACACCCACTTCAACAAATTCCAAACTACTGCACAACAAATTATTAAAAGTATCGACACCAGCTGAATCCCCAAAACCTCCATCGATTTCTTACAACTTTCGACACCAGCTGCTTGAAGGTCGTTTGTGGTGCCCACCAGCCTTCAGCTTTGAGATTTATTATGCATTTTCTGCCGTTGTATTTTTTATTATTCGTTCACGTCTTGAGATCTGTCGTAAGTGTAAAATAGTCCTCTTAGTCCGGGCCTTATCTATCTGTCCATTTTCTTTAAAAATATTATTATTATATTGAAATATAGGAGAAATAAAAGTTAAAAAATTAAACTAGCTTTATTAGTATTATATTTCCTCCGTCTCAAACAAGCTGCAACATTTACTTTTGGCACAATTTTTTAAGTAGATAGTATTAAGTAAGATAATTTAGAAATTAAATGATGTGATGAACAGATAAATGTATTTTTATTTTTCTTATTGGGGTGATACGATGGGATAAGGTGTTGGGTAGAGATTAAATATAATTAATTATTCATATTTTGGAAATATTGCATAGTGTCTGGAACATACCAAAAAGAAAATGTTGCAAGGTGTTTGGAATGGAGGGAATATGATACAAAGGTGATGGTATTTGTGTAATATATTATAAATTGTAAGGGTATTGTAACATTAGGTAGATAGTACAGTTACTAAAAAAAAGTAGATACTTTGTTATAAGACGAACCAAAATAGAAAAATAGATAGATTGTTAAGGGATGAAGAGAGTAATATTGACTGTAATAAAGTTCATTGTAATACTTCCTCCATCCCAAAATAATAGTGTCCCAAACCAATATTCTCATTTCTTTTTTTAAGTAAGTAACTTTCACCGTTCTACAAAATTATCCCTATTTTTTCACAATAATTATACAATTGTCATTACAATTAAAAAAATTTAAACAACACACAATATAATTTAATTATTCCACCCATCATACTTAATACTCTCACATACCCCATTAACACCCACCCACCCCTCTTAAACTCACCCATATGTTAACTCTATATCTCTCTGTCTCGATTTTATCTCTCTATCTGTCTTTTTCGACAGACTTCGTCTAGGGTTTCTTCTTTGTAAGAATATTGTCTTCGTTGTCGTTTTTGCCAGTGAATCGCCTGGAAAAGGCCAGAAATTTCATCTCCTCTTCACGACGAGCCGGAGAAGATGTCGGAATCAATTTTTTTGTGTCCTCCGGGTTCGATCGACGATTCTGAAATCGGCTTTGGTGACGCCATCGCTGATGATGTCGTCGTCGATTCTGAGCCCGACAACGAGTAGGGTCGACGTCGATTCTGAGCCCGACAACGAGTAGGGTTTAGGTGTGGGGTTGTCTTTTTCGGAAACTCCAAAACCCCAAAAACCCAACTTCGCTCGTGAAGTGTTGTTGATGTTTCTCCCAATCTTGTGTCCGTTGGCTATGGAGTTGGAGGAGTACAAAAAATGTATCAATAAGTGTATTTTGTTACATTATGAAGGGAATCGAAATACTTTTTACCCACTGTGCATATTTGTCTTCTTATTTGTTGGATTTGAATATTTGTTTCCCTGTTGATTACATCCTATTTTTGTTGAGGATTTGCTTCCAAAGGCCGTTGAAAATTAAAGGGGTTTCGGTGTAGTGCACGTACTAGCTTATGCGAATTTGAATCCGAGGTGAAATTGCTTGAACTCAATCTTTGGTTGGTTGTGAAACTGTTTATGCTTCTATATGCTGGGACATGATTTATTTGTGCTTGTTTGTTGGGAGTTTGAGTACTTTGGATTGAATGATGAGAAATATATATTGATTGGGTATTAGCAATCCTGATGAGTAATATATATTCTACGAGGTTTTGGAGATATGTATATTAATGTTTTGTCACCCCTCATAGAACCGTGCACGTCTCTGCTAGTCCAGTTCTTTTTATGTCCATTTTCTCCCAATCTGAGAGTGATTTGATCACACTCTGTGATGATTAAAGAACATGTTAGGTCCCCTCCTACTCTCTCAATGATTAATTTGTTCTATGAAAGTGATCCCCACGCCCTAAACAAACCCAACACATGTTGCATAAAATCAATTTCTACTTGATGATGATGTTAACATTTGAAGGTGGACATGCAACTCAATGATGTACTATGAACCTGAGAGCTATATAATTGACTATCCTTAGATTACGTTATGTCCAAAAATGGATTACAAGTGATTAAAATCTACTGATCATAGATTTCAATCACTTGTAATCTTGTACATACAAAATACTTCTACGTAGTCGTTTGATGTAATTACAAAAACATCAAATGTTATATATGAAAATGCAATATTACGTCATAGCCTCTACGAGTGTAATGAGATCTCTGATTCCGGAAGGTTCATTACTCTCCAAATTAAAGATGCCTATACTTAATAAAACCATAATCAACTGCACTATGACACCTGTACGGTCAAAACATCGACAATACGGTATAAACATCATATTGAAGGATTCAAAAGAATAAAATTAAGGCAAACAATGCCATAAACCTGGTGCAGGGGGGCTGAACAGAAGTCCCTCAACAACAACTTTCTTCTCTCTGGTACGAGATAATATAAGTACACGGGTGCCAACCTACAATAGAGATTACAGAATAGTTGGAAGCATACAGGTTGGAAATGAAGGTTAGCCTAAAGTTGACACTTAGTTAACTTTAGGGTTTCACAAAATCATACCGTCATAGGTGATTCAGATACAGGCCTAAGAAGCTCAGAGACCGTATCAATACGAGCTGTGGCCTGTGAAGAATAAACAGATCGTAGTGAATTTTTTAGCCATTCAAAGCTCGTGGGATGCAATTAAAGAAAGTATGAATATTAAGAATACTTACAGATGGGCCATTAACTGCTCCGGAGTTTCTGTGCATGAATGCATACACATCAGCCTTGATGGTTTTGAACTCAGCCATCGTTTCCTTCAACTCTCCAAGTCCGCTCTGTATTTCTTCCCACCCTTGCTGGAATGCTACAGTATTTGTTAAACCAGTTGCCTCACTGCAGGGATGAGCTGAACTGACGGCAGTGTCAACCTTTGAGCATTTTTTGGTCTTTCCCCCAAGAGCCCGTCGGTAAAGAGTCTCCCGAACAGCCGGAGTCCGCCTTTCCGGGGGAATCTTGTTTAGTTCATTCTACAAATATGTCTACAACAAAAGAATCAAGTGAGGCCGACCTTGCAAGTGAAACTGCAACATAAGCCTTTGAATCAGTTCCTTCATTAATATATCATAAGTTACTATTGTTTCCCCTATAAATTCTAGGATCTCGACACTATGTGAAATTAACACACATACTAAAACCATGTTGCATATTTTTTCCCCAGGTATACATTGTTTCATAAGAAGAACGAGGTTATTCAGATTGTTTAGAAACGAATGACATTTATGTCTATGCAAGGCACATATTGTGTATTCATAACTAACACAAAATCTTCACAATATAAAGGGAAAATACTTTTCAGTAGTCGCAAATCTTTCTTATGAAACCAGCAAGGATGTACTATTACATAAAATGTGTGTCGGGTCTCATACCGACTGTTTATTTAAATTTGAGATCAGAATCAGCTTTGATGTATCCATTTCCACCCTGATTTTAGGTGTTTTGTATCTTTAAAATCATCATTATCATGTTCGTCATCTAAACTCTATCCTAACTAGTCGTGGCTCTATTTAAGTCTAAGATACAAGGATTAAATACATTATACAACATAGTGTTAGTTTTTTCAACCATTTAGATGTTTGCAAATGAACAATGAGATACTTGAAGCCCATAATCATGCAGGATTTAGATAAGATGACCTCCAGTTTTACAAGGTATTCAAAATTTTCTGCAGCTAGAAGATAAAAAAACTAGAGACTAGGGTAGTACACATTTAAAAAATTTAGCCAAAATTACATAACAACAAACCTGAAAATGAAACTATAGAACCAGTAGGTTTGAGCTGGAGAAAACTTAAAGAAAGAGAAATATGCTTTTGTATCCTTATTTAATTGGTAAATACAAACTAAACCGCAACAAATATAACTAATTAACAAAAAAATGTAGGCTTTGCACCTTAGCAATCCATTTACAACTATGCTACCTCCAACCTTTTATACATGCCGGTGTCTAATGCCTATCCCTATACTGAATCATAAGTTATACAATAAATTCGCAGAACAACAATATATTGTAAGATCGGAAGTGTATACAATGCTATTTCAATCCATTCATAGAGATATAATGGAAAACATATCCAACACTATAACATACAGCATTTAAGCGGAAATCTGAACAATTATCAAGTGAGTTGTGTAAGGTTTCTCCATTCCTTATCTACATTTTGGTTTAACCTATTATGCTTTATCAATCAAAATTCATTTACTAAATTCAAATCTCTTCCCCTTTTTTCTTTTTCCTGTTTATTGAATCCAAATTCACAAGCACCTGTTGAGCTGAACAAATTGATTCCTCAATTATACAAATTGAACATTGAACTACAACTAATGCTATCACTTGATCATTCATATCCCAAACTGACTAGGTGTACGAATCACACTAAGAACCCTACTGATTTTATGTTTTCCTCATTGAGTAGCAAATATCAAACAGTAAAAGCACAACAAATCACCATCAAAACTGCAATTATCCATCGTTTCCCTAACAAAAACCAAAAATGCCCACAACACATTACATCCGATATCAAAACCCAGAACGGCAAAAGTTGCTCATAACCTAGGGGAGCCCGCTGTGTAGATTTCAACTACGGAATCTTGTTCTAAATTTAGTTCAATTAAATCATACCAATCACCGGAGAAATCCTAGAGTCTTACTAGATATCATCAACAAACGATCTTTCTGCAAAAAAAAAAAAAAAAAAAAAAAAATAGACCTCAAAAGCTTGCTCTAGACACAGACATGAACAAAGAGAAAGCAATCATGGCATACCCAAACCCGTATGAACCTAAAGAAGCCAATTTTTTGTGTTCCTCAAAATATCAGTTTGAGAATGCAACGAACGAAGAACCGTAGGTCCATACTGAATCTTATTGGACAAAACCTAAACACCTTACCTGAACGCCGGCGTCGGAGTAGCTTGTCAATCCAACCAATTTGACGATGAGGGTTGTGTCGGCGGAAGGAGGGGGGAGTACAGTGCAGTGCGGGGGAAGGAAGAGATCAGCG